ACTGGTGTCTGGGCTGCCGCTGCACAGGGCTCGCCCAGTGTCAAGGCTCTCCCTTCTTCCCACTCTCTGCCCCAGCGAGGAAGCTGGGGTGGGCAGGAGGCTGGGAGGGGACAGAGCTGGGACAGCTGACCCCAGCGGATCAAAAGGGACGGTCCATGACACAGCGTCGTCCTTGACAGTGAGACTGGAGGCAGAGGAAGAGGAAGGGTTTTGGCTCCCAGCGTGGCTGTTGCTTGGAGACTTGGCTGGGTGGGAGGCGATGAGCGACTGCCTTTACAGTGCTAGGGTTTGTTTTATTTTTCCTCTTTCCTTCACAGATTAAAGTGTCTTTATCTCAACTCACGAGTTTTTTTGCTTTTCCTATTCTGTCCCTGTCCCGCTGCAGGGGGGAGCGAGTGGCTGCGTGGGTGCTCGACTGCTGGCTGGGGTCAGCCCACAACAACCCCCGGAATCCTGCGGGACATTTCGGGCTGGCTCATCCCCATGCACACGTGCCTGCACTAGGAACAGCAGGAGGCCAGGAGCGGGGGCAGGGAAAGGGCCCCGGAGGCTGTCACAGAGGTGGGTGCAGCACACGGTGCAGCGGGCGCAGGAGACAGAAGAGCTGGCACGGGACCGACAGACACAGCTCCAAGTCCGATACAGGAGGCCGCTCTCAGGGAAGGTTTCTGTTTGACTCCCTGGCAGGTTTGCTAGGCCAGCGTGACACGGCCAGACGCAGCCCCAGGTGCCATGGGAACAGGGTGGGAGGTGCTGTGGGGCTGGTGAAAGGACCCGGTGCCAACCTGGGGAGCTAGAAGCCGAGTCGGCCCCCAGGAGCGTGGCCAGCCGATGGCAAAGCCCAGTGGCAAAGGTGGCACAGGGTCCCCAGCTGCCTGGCAAGGCCAACGAGCCAGACACCCGCCCCACTCCGCTCCCAGGGACACTCCTGGGTCAGCCCAGCGGAGGTGTGCCATGGAGCCAGCGCCACGGGCAGAGCCCAGTGCTGTCCTCCGGGGTTGGCAGAGAGGGGCCAGAGCAGAGCACCGTGCCGCCCTGGTCAGCAGCGCCAGGGTCTTGTAAAGATCCCCTGGGCTTAGCACACTGTGAGGGCAAAGCAGCGCAGGGGCTGAGGCCAGAGATTCGGGGCGGCCACTCTGCCCAGCAGGGAGAAGGGGTAGCTGCAGTCCCAGGGGGACACTCTGTGGATCAGGGCAAGGGCCGGGGAGCATGGCACTTCCCCCTGGGGTCTGCAGGCCCCACATCGCCCCACTGCTCCAGCCTGGGCACCCGGCCCTGCTGAGTGGGCATGGAGCTGCCACCATTGTTTGGCCCCTCAGTGCCATGGGCCCACGGCAGTGTCCAGATGGCACCAGGGCTGGCTAGCTGCCGAGGCGGCCCTGGCAGCTGTGCAGCTGTGCAGGGACAAGCGCTCCTGGCACCATGGGGTCTGCAGGCCCCACATCGCCCCACTGCTCCAGCCTGGGCACCCGGCCCTGCTGAGTGGGCATGGAGCTGCCACCATTGTTTGGCCCCTCAGTGCCATGGGCCCACGGCAGTGTCCAGATGGCACCAGGGCTGGCTAGCTGCCGAGGCGGCCCTGGCAGCTGTGCAGCTGTGCAGGGACAAGCGCTCCTGGCACCATCAGACCAGTGTGGCCGTGCACAGCAGGGCTCCCAGGGCCTATCTGAGCACCCACCGCCCCAGACTGCCCCCGGCACGGACACACCCCTTTGCCACGCGCCTGGGTCCGTCCACGCTTCCACCTTCAGGTGGCAATTCCTTGGCTCCTGTCCCGGCAGCTGAGGCAGGCGCTCAAACGCCGCGGGGGGGGC